GCGGCTTCTTGAAACTACTGGTCGGCTTGGTTTTTGCAAAGCTGGTGATGTTGTAGAAGGGTTTGGCAATGGGCTTTTCTGCGTGCCTAAGAGTACAAAGGTTGACCGTTTGATTCTGGATGGTCGACCTGCCAATCTTTTGCAGAACCCACCAAACCGTTTTATCATGACCATGGCATCGCCTTCTGCTATTTTGGGCATCCACCTCAAGGACAGTGAGAAATTCTTAATGAGCGGTGATGATTTGTCAAACTTCTTTTACACCTTCAGGGTCAACAAGCTGAGGGTTGCAAGGAATTTCCTCGACTGGAAGATCCCTATTAAATTAGCGAAACAGTTCAAAAGTTTTCCTGACGAACTTAGCGGTGAACCCTATGTTTACGCGTGTTTGGCTTCCTTGGCTATGGGTGATTCGGCTGCTTGCGAGTACGCGCAAACATCACACTTAGCAATGGCTTTGCAATGTGGGGCTTTACTCCCAGAACATTTGCTGACAATTCATGGGCGAACCCCTCGGTGTGATTTTCTCGGTGGTATCATTATTGATGATTTTTGCCTTCTTGAGAAGGTCGCGTACGATGCAGTTTCTGGGGTTGAAGCACCTGCGAGAAGAAAATTAATGCACAACATGTACAACCAGGTTGGTCTTGAAGCGCATCCCAGTAAGGGCTTTGAAGAACAAGAAGTTGCGTCTTTCTGGGGAGCTGACGTTGATGGAAAAGTTGGGCTTGTCAGAGGCAACATTGTCCGGGCTGCGTCCATAGTTTGGGTTACCGTCCAGATTGCTTCATTGGGTATCTGTAGCGTGTCCTTGCTGGAGATTCTTGCTGGTGGCTATGTGTCCTTGTTTGGCTTTCGTCGGCGTATGATGTCCTTGCTGGATTACGTCACGTCTACTGTCTGCAGGGAGGTCGTGATCGTCGGGACATCGTCAGGTTGCCCTCTGCCGCGGTTGATGAGCTCTGGTCTTTGGCTATTTTGTGCCCTTTAGCAGTTACAGACCTTCGTGCAGGGTTTTGCGAAAAGGTGTACATGGTTGATGCTTCCAATTGGGGTGATGCTGTTGTTTCTTCTGACCTACCTTCCGGTCTACGTGATGAAATTCACCGCCATGGGGTGTCGAAATCGTGCTGGACAAGGTTGCTGTCGCCCTACAAAGCTCATCTACGAAATAAAGGTTGTCTTCCTGTTGAGGATGAGCTTCCAGGTGATGAGGTTGCATACAGTGAACATCCGGTTTGGGAAGTTGCTGCTCGTGGTCTTGATTATCAGCTTGAGTGGAAGTGCCGGGCAAAGGCAGGGAGACACATCAACATTGGGGAATTACGGGCGTATCTCAAGGCTGAGGTCATCGGTGCTGGTGCGGATGGCGACAAGCGGGTACCTATTGGGAGTGACTCTCAGGTCAGCCTGGGGGCGGTCTGCAAGGGAAGGTCTGCGTCGTCATGCCTTAATGCTATTCTGCGTCAAAGTCTTGCTGATGTCCTGGGTCGGGGTATCTATTCGTCTGGTGGCTACCTTCGGTCTGCGCGCAACCCTGCTGATGACCCAACAAGGGGGGTACCCTTGCGTGTTGCTGATGTTGAATGCCCTTCTTGGTGGTTGAGTGCTGCTGTGGGAGAATATTGGGACATGGATGATTTCTTGCTTTCAGAATTTCTTCATCCTCGACAACTAGGGGGGTACCCATGCCTTAACGAGTTGATGATCGCTAAGCCTGATAATTTCGATTCTTTGCGTTTGCTGCGGAACAACTTGCGCCATAGAGCAGTCAAGGACAGGCTGCGGCTCAGAGCAGTGCAGAAACAAACAGCATGTAACGAAGTAGGAAGTTGCACCGGTGAGCGCAAACAGTGTGAGACTAAAGATTCTACCCTACAGTTGCCCTTTGACAAAGATTGCTTGTTTGTTTTGGAGAGTTTTGGCAAGGACCAGTTCATGATTGGCCAGGACAGCCCTTGGCCCCCAACAGAGAAAGGTGTTCTTAACATTTACAGTGGAAGAAGGGGTTTTGCAAAAGCTAGCCTGCGATGTGGTGCGCAATGGGTCCTCACCATCGACATTGCTGATGGACCGCAGTGCGATGTTTTGAAAGCAGAAGTGAAACAAAAACTTGAGTATCTTATTCGCAGTGGTTGCTTTGAGCATGTTTCTGCTGCGCCTATTTGCGGCTCGTTTTCAAGGGCCATAACACCTGCGGTAAGTTCTCGAGCTCATCCTAAAGGCATGCCTGGAGTTTCAAAGAACATGGTTGCCAAAATTTTGGAGGCTAACAAGCATTCTGAATGGGTGGCTCGGCTCGTTGGCATTTGCAAAAGTTTGAACATTGCTTTTTGGGTTGCACATCCGCATAACTCATACATGTGGATTCAACCTGAGTGGGCGGAGCTTCGTCCTCTGGAGCATGGCAACGTTTTTAGATGCGATTTCTGCAGGTATGGCGCGCCATGGCGCAAACGAATGCGGTTCCTTGTAGGGCCAAGTAGCTTTTTATCTGGTACGAAAGTTTTTTGTATGGGGCATCACAAACATTTTCTGCTCCGGGGTCGTGGAGATGGAACACGCGCATCCATGACGAAGCTGGCCCAGCCTTACCCTGAAAAGCTTTGCGCTCAGCTTGCTCAGGCTGTTTGCCTCCAGCTGGGAAGATTCAATGGGCCTCTGTCGTTGGCTTGCCGGTGCAACCACAGGCGAATTGGAGAAGCAAAGAACCCAGGGCCGCTTCGTCGCAAGAGAATGCCCGAGCCCAAAGATGCTGCTGACCTTGACCGTGTGGAACTCATACGCCCAGAGACTTTGGCTTTGGGCTGCGATCAATGGCAAAAAATTTTGGTTTGGGCCCAAGAAGTTTTGGGCGAATCAGCTTGCGCATCATTGTGGGCAGTACCTGGACTTATGGTGGCCCTTCTTGGCGCATATGGCAGACATTGGTACAGTGTGGGCGGCTCGCTTTTCAATTGAAGGCATTTGCTCATTTACGCCCAAAGAGTATGTCCTGTACTGAAAGGGCAGATGCAACCAGCATGGACCATTGTCTCAAAATGGGAAGAGCTTGAACCTGTTGAGCACCGCAGACCGGTGCCCATAGCTCTACTGCATTCAATGGTCGTGATAGCGCTGAACTGGAAATGGAAGAGGGTTGCTGCTGTTTTATTGGTTTGCTTTTATGGATGTTGCAGGCCTGGCGAAATGTTAAATGCGTCCCGCAAGTCTTTGGTTTTGCCTGATGATTTGGGCGCTGTTCCTGGTTCAGCATGTTTTTTGCGTATCGTGAAGCCAAAACCCGGCCGTAGGGGCCTGGGCAGAGGTCAGCATGTTAAAGTACGAGACTCTTCCATTTCTCTTTTCTTGGCCAGTGTCTTCGGCGGGCTAGATTGCAATGAGCTTTTGTATCCTGGCTCAGCTTCAGCTTTTCGGGTGAGATGGAACAAAATTTTGAAGTGCCTTGGCGTGCCACCAAGCGCAAAGCTGACCCAGGATGCCTGAGGGCAGGCGGCACAGTTGAACTTTACAAGCAAGGCATGCCGATCCTTGATATCTTGTGGACTTGGCGTTTAAAGAACATAGAGACACTACAGCATTATTTGCAGGAAATTTCTACAGAAATCACAATGATTGATTTGCCCCTTTCGACACGAACTTTAGTTAAGAACCTGAATCTGTTGTTTTCTCACTTTATCTCTCTTTCAAGCTGTGAGATGGGTGAAGTGCATCAAGCGCGCTGACTATGAACCGTCGCCAGCCTTTTGTCATGGGTGGATGAGTGAGCTGTCCTTTTTCTTTCGCTGCGAATTCTTTGCTTACGATGGGTGGTTTTTCAGATCAATCCTGCTGGTTAGCTTGGCATTTGGCGCATTCCATATTTGTCCTTCTCTTTCATTGCTGATTCTCTGCTTATGACGGATAGTTTCTTTCATATCGATCCTGCAGACAATCTTGGCCTTGACAGATATTGTTTGCTTTTTCATCCAGCTGCTTATTCCCTGCTTACGACGGATTGCTCTTCAGATCATCTTGCAGAAAAATTCTGGTGCTTTTGACAGCTCACAAATGTCTCCGTCGACAATTACCTATGATCTCAATGTGGCAAGCATGGCTGAAAATAGAGTGAAGTGCAGCAGAGGAGACATGTCACATGCATTTCCATGTGACTTGTGGACGGCGCCAGAGCTTGGCCCACCCACAGGCCACCCGGATGAGTGAGCTGTCCTTTTTCTTTCGCTGCGAATTCTTTGCTTACGATGGGTGGTTTTTCAGATCAATCCTGCAGGTTAGTTTGGCATTTGGCGCATTCCATATTTGTCCTTCTCTTTCATTGCTGATTCTCTGCTTATGACGGATAGTTTCTTTCATATCGATCCTGCAGACAATCTTGGCCTTGACAGATATTGTTTGCTTTTTCATCCAGCTGCTTATTCCCTGCTTACGACGGATTGCTCTTCAGATCATCTTGCAGAAAAAATCTGGTGCTTTTGACAGCTCACAAATGTCTCCGTCGACAATTACCTATGATCTCAATGTGGCAAGCATGGCTGAAAATAGAGTGAAGTGCAGCAGAGGAGACATGTCACATATATATATATATATACCCTAAAGCAACCCTTAACTCCAATAAACTTTGGACCAACATGTCATAAACCCTAAACCAACCCTAAACAAACCCTGATTCATTTTTAATTAAACCCCAAACCCGCAATAAATTCAAGTGTGGCCACTAGCAGCAGCATTTGTAGCGCAAATTGCAAATAGTAGCTGCGAAAATTATCGAACACATAGCCCCTGCGCCACGTTTCCGACAGACTCCTAGCCCCATGATAAAAACTGAAAACAGTTCCCCAAACGGACTAGAAGAAAAATCGCCAAAACCCCCTCGACAACATGTTAAAAGAGCTGCATGGATTCAGCAGCGCTATCTTGATACTTGCGTTCTTTGTGTATCGCAGTTGATTTCCATTTTTGCGCAAATGCCTTGCCAAAAAACGGAGACTTCCCGTGCTGAGGAGTTTGGTGTCTGTTCGAATTTTTCCTGTCCAGCCGTCAGCACTTGGACCTGGTCTTCGTCACCAATGTTGGCGTGGTGGGTGATGCTGCTTGGCGGAAATGGTTTGTCTCAAAAATTTTGGAACCCGGTGCAGTAACCAGTTGTTGTTTTTATGAAAAAAATGTGGGATTGTCACTGCAAATGTCGCGGGTAAGTTCTTGGTTCTGCACGAGCACGTGTGTTCATCAGCAAGACAAAGCAAACGAGTTGGCACGCGTCACTTTCGCATTCACATTCAAGTGAACTTGTGTAAGCAAGAAGCGGGGCCTGGCGGGTTGCAAAAGTACAGAAAGGCCAACGGCCAGTATATTTTGTACGCTGTTAATTCTCCGCCGGCCAGACTGTCGTAAGGTTCTCCTTAGAGGCTTAGTGGGTCAGCCATGACATGGGCCCCACATGACAATGTACCCTTTGCTGCAGGATGGTTGCAGCTCCTTTGACGTTGCGTTGGAGATGGGCAAGAAGATAGAGTCGTTGCAGGTTCAAACGTGTGAGGCATCTTCGGAGGAAGATAAGAAACTTGATTTCAGCCAAATCCGCACTGCGCACGTTTCATTCTTCATGGAGTTAGAGGGTTGCTGTAGAAACATGTAACTTCGATGTATTGGTGGCCATAATCTATAAACTATAATAAACCGATATTTTTGAATTTGTTTTTTCTATGCCCCATTGAAAGGACCAATTTCGGGATAAAGATCAGCGGGTAATTGTAGGTTGGGTTTCTGCTCTTGAAAAACATGTTTTAAATAAATACCTGGATCTTCGATTAGCACTTTTTTCTGCTCAAAACAGTTTTTTCTTGGATTTACAATCGTTCTGAATTTTGATGTTCACTTGAACAAAACATGCGCATTTGTGTCTTGACGGACGGGTATTTACGTTTTTTTTTCCCGGATATTTACGCTTATTCTCCGGGAAAGACGCTCATAATTTTGGTTTCAAAATCCATGAAGTGCAAAAATGCCAAAAGTGGTGCAATTATGCCCATGTGGAGAAAAACCTCTCAAAAAGCAGAAATCTCTCAAACGCGCATTTATTTGTGTTTTTTCGAGGATACAGGTATACGGTATAGATGTGAAAAGGGCGGGCGACTTATTTTGACTTCACATGACGTATTTTTGGTTGACTTGAACTTGAACTATAGTTTATTTGTGTTAACCGTGTTTTAACTCAACAGGTGCGTTTTTGTTCTGTTGTGTGTGTGTGTGTTTGTTTTGTGATGTTTTGTGTGTTTTTTTGATTTGTTTTATAGCTAACAAATATGTGTGTGTGTGCAACGTTTTACAACTGTCAACCAGTCATTACACCACCAAAAAGAACAGATCGGCAAACAAAATAGACATGTGTTCCTTTAACGTATATGCTGTGTATATATATACATATATATGGTGATCGATCTAAAGGTCCTGGCAAGGAGTTTTATTTGCGAAAGCCGTGCATGTTATGTTGGAAACCCTCGCGAAAGTTTTTTTTCGAGTTCGCGAAAGTAAAATTTTATATTTCGCGAAAGTTTCGCGAAAGTTGGGTATTATAATCATTATATGTAAAGGGCTGCCACCCACTGCCGCCCGGGGTCCGGCAGGAGAAGGGCACCAGAGAATGCGAGTAGCAGTAGCCAAGTTTCCAAAAGTGAGGCTTTGCGAGAGCCAAACACCAAGGCCTCTGGTCTTCGCTTTTCCTTCAGTGCACCCCCTGCTGATGGCCGGGGTCTGTGAATAGGGATATTTTCGCGAAAGTTCCGCGAAAGTTATGCGAAAGAGCTGGCGAGAGTCAAAGTGCATGTTGAAGGGGGTGGGCCAGTAAACTTTGCAAAAAAAAATCAGTCCTGAGAAGGGATTCTGTGATGCTAGCTGCATGTTTAAAAGGCTACCAAGAAGTGATCCGTGATTCTCTGGCGTAATTGGCAGGTGGTGAACGAATCTTCATAAGAGGCGTTGTTGGCCAGCATGGGCCCCGCAAAAGATAAACATGGAGTTCGCGAAAGTTTCGCGAAAGTAAATTTTTTATTCGCGAAGAATGGCCGTTCCGGGATAAAGGAATTTTGATCAACAACCATATATATATATATACCCATGCATTGAGTTTGGCAGGCTTGGGTGTGCATGTATCATCTTTAAGTGCCTCAATGAATGCTATCATTTTGGCTCAAGTAAACTTGAACCAAAATAGCATTCATTGCTGTTTCTTTCTTGGTCTTGGTAAGGGGTGACCTTCCCTGACCTTGATTGATTGGTTCAGATTCTACACAAGGGGTGACCTTGTATGCAGCGCAAACTCCCAGGGATCGATATCCCGGCAGCCACCGAGGTGAAGATCCTCCATGCGGCGGCTTTCTTGGAGTTCAAGGGCCACGTGGAAAGGCTGGCACGGGAGGGCTCTGATCTGGCAGCATACACATGCTGGATGCACGGGATTGTTGCACTCCCCCTACGTCATCACTACTGGGACGGACTCAGAGCTTTTCCCCCCCCTGCCGAAGCTGCCCTGTTGCCTTGATGACTGCCAGCGTTGCGCAGCTCATGTTGGGGGGTTCAAGTTCCCGTGGCTCGGCCTGTGGAATAGCCGCGGAGTTGTGCTGCCCGACGATGTGGCGCCTGCGGATGCTTGGGCGTACTACTACCAGCACCAGGACCCAATGGACCTACTGCTGGTTGCCGCCTACACGAAGCTCAAGGTGGCTGCCGACATCGTGCCCCAAGATCTCTACGGATTGCAGCTCAGGTGCACAGCGGGTGACGCTGGGCAACTGGGCCTGGGAGAGCTGTTCGATCAATGGAGGAGTTGGCTCAGATGCACGGGCCCTCACGAGCTCCTGCCGACCTTCCTTGAGCCGCGCCACTTTCCCAGAGCACCCAGGGGGCGACCCTGGCCAGCATGGGGGAGAGAAGGCGCCAGGGCACATCGAGCACTATGTGGATGGCTGGAATGCCAGGATGCAGGCGTGCTGCAACTGGGCACGGCCTGCACGGAGTGCGGGGACCCTACAAGGCGCATGTGCTGGGCATGCTGCGTCGGGATGTGTAGTGCCTGCTTTACCTGGCGAGAGCCATGCAGCACTTGTGGAGGACGTAAGAAGATGTTTGCTGCAGGTTGATTTTATGACAGAGGAGGCACCTCTGAAGTCACCGCAGCATCTTTTTGCTCTCCGCACCTTAGCAATTCTGTTAGGGTGCAGTGCCATGGCATCAGGCGGCAAGGGCTACTACGCAGCTCAGGCGGCAGCCTCATCTTCGTCAGGGGGTGACCCTGCACCAGGATGGAGGGCAGCCGACTCTTTGATGATGATAGCTGCACAACGTGCGCGTCAATGGAGGGAGAATGAAGGCCTCCTGGACGACAACGACTTCGCCTATGCCTACACAGACTACGATCAGGTCGTTGGACTGGCCGGCCATCACGTAGCGGATGACTGGCTGCAGACGCGAGCAAGGGTGGAAGAACATCTCCTTGCAGCGGGGCCAAAGTCGTGGAGGACAACCCCAAGGGTTCCGTCACTCTGCGCCCTGTGCGCAAGACAATATACAAAAAGAAGCCCAAGGCCGTCAACGTCGACAAGAACCTGGATGAAGCCGTCCAGAAGAGGGTGAACGGTTTGGTGTCGATGTTTGTCGGCATGGGCGCATACAAACCAGCTGGCATCTTGACAGACACCCTCAAGGCCGAATGGAAACAAACGTGCAAGAGGATCGCCGAGAAGAAGGTGAAGGACGCAGAGAAGGCGACCATTGACCGAGTGGTCAACACATGGTTGGAGCTGAGGGCCTTCTTGGAGAGTCGGGGGCGACCCGCTCCTCCTGGAATGGTCGACCTGGATCAGTTCCTGAACCATACATCGGCCCCAGCACGAGCACTCCAAGCCTTGAAGTGGATGAACAAGAATGCCGACCAAGATCTAGAGCTGGGAAACTTGCAAGTGCCCACAACACCCAGGGCGACTGGGCAGCGTGGGCAAGCACGGTGGTGGAACCGCCGCTAGTGCAAGCCTTGGAGGACCGCATCATGGAGTTGCACGCGGTCGGCGACGAGAGGTGGTCAGTTCTCCTGGCCCCTTGGATCATGTCGTTTGGCTGTTTGAGGTATGCGCACATTGCGCGGTCAGAACCTCGACGACTCACGGCTGCATTCCTCCATTGCAGGTGCCCCAAAGGAAAACAAAAGCATGCTCGTGATGGATTCGACTTTGCTGTGCCGGCCACCTTTGCCAACGGCTTCTTTTGGGCCAAAGAAGTGCTGGAGGCATACAGGACGCTGGCACCGGCGAGGCAGAGACTTGCAGGCCTTTGTTTTTCGGACGAAGGGCGCCCTTGGACGATCCTTGAAGTGCAAGAAACAATGCAGCAGGAAATGTCCGTGTTCCTCGATAATCCAGAAGACCTGACCACCTACAGCTGGAGGAGGCTTGCACCAACGGTGGCCCAGTTGTTAGACTGCAGGCCTGAAGAAATGGCAGCCCTGGGCGAGCCCAGTGGCATGGTGCTGGCGTGTGACTGCCCCATGGAGCACTTGTGCGAAGCCGATATGCTCATCGGACTCTTCTTCGACGCCACTGCCCCTGGGGGCGACCCGATGCAGAGGGGTACAGATGGCAGATGGAGCCGGACCGTGGCCTTGCTGCAGGGGATCCAGGCTATTCCCAAAGGCGTAGCCCTACCCATGATGAGCCAAGAAGCACTGGTGTTAGCCTTCCAGAAGCTGTTCCCCGAGCAGTGGTTCAAGAACTACAAGTTCGCAATGGTTGAAGACCTCATCAACAGCCCACCTTTCTGCTCATATGCTGCTTGGCTAGCAGAGCGAGGAGAAGCTTGGGATGGCCCCCTTGTCCCGCACCTTGCTGCTGGGTCAGTGAGACAGCTCGCACGGATTGGGGATGGGTGCCAAGTTGGTGCGATGACACACCGAGCAGCCTTGCCACCGCTGCTGCCATTCAACTTGGACCCCGATGACCACTTCAACCAAGCCTTACAACGAGCCCAGCAACCATTGCCCTATGAAGATCTCCCAGTGGTTGACTTGGATCTGGAGTTCGTAGCCGATGCCTATGCAGCACATGGCCAACCATTGCGCCCGTGGCGACAACATGCAGTAGGGGCCATGCGCGAGCTGAAGAGACGTTGGGAGGGGGTGACCCTCCACTTGCGGCCTTTTCAAGAGCCTGCCATACAGCAAGTCACACGGCATCGCGATGTGGGATTCATCGCACTGCTGATGCTGCTGACGTCATGGGCCGACACCAGTTTTCCCTATGGCCTGATTCGTGGTTTACCAGCAGTGGGGTACGCACCACCATATGGAGTCTTCCCCCAACAACCGGCTGAGGTGATCAGCATGTCCGACGTGTTGGATGGATGGCAAGAACACAACCAGCACATCTTGAACCAGCTGCGAGCAGGCAAGGATGATGAGTTCCTCCTGCAGCAGTCGTTGGAGGATGCAGCGAATGGCTTCTGCACAGCACCCTTGCGGCGGCCAGATTTCCTGAGGTTCATTGGCAACAAGGCACATAGATTGATCCCACGTTGCGTGATCACGCAAAGCTCCGGCAAGCAGCGAGTGATCGACAATGGTGACACTGGAGGACAATCAGCCCTATCATCAGATGCCAACAAGCTGACATTGTGCAGCCCCTTGCGCCCTGCACAGCACATTCGTTTGGCGATGCATCGTTGGACAGAGGAAGAGATATCAGACTTCTTTGCACGCGATGCCTGGGAGACTGGACAAGAAGACCTGCCTTCACCCTACAGGTATTGCCCTATGGCGTTGCAGGAAAGCCTGGGATGCGTGGTGGTGTGGTACCATCACGAGTGGCAAACCCCTGCATACCAAGTATACGCTGGGCTGCTCTTCGGGCTGCCGTTAGCAGTTACCTCCTTCAACAGATTTTCCAGGCTGTTGGAGGCGCTAGCCAGGCGCTTTTGCCGAGTTCTGACATCCCTATACTTCGATGACGCAACCATCACAGACCGCCGTCATGACACTAGTGAGAGGACGTTCTAGCAATGCCGACTTAGCGAAGCTAGGTCATTTGATCCATCTAGCTCTGTTTGCACTGCGAGCCCAAGGATATTGGGAGTACGTCCAGAGCAAGAGCAACTGGGCTGACGACATCAGCCGACTTGGCGTCGACGATCCATGGTGGCGATGCCATGGTTTTGACTTTCATTCGTCGTACCTCCCTACAATCTTTTTCCAGCTGCCTTTTGCTGCTGTCATTCTCACCTTCGAATACCTTTAGTGCTTTGGGAGTTTAGTGCATTGGGTGATTCCTGCAGAGCAGGTTCCAGCCTGGGTTGCCAGGCAGCTGACCAGTGGCGAAACTGGTCTGGGGCTATGTACGTGTCACACAGTGACGACCCAAAGCAAACCTGAGGATTGCAGGTGAAATTGACTGAGCATAGGTATAGCTGTGGAAAAAGAAAGCTGCGGGAGCGCGAGACAGTATCTGTTTCATATGACACTTTGAGATGTACCCATGCATTGAGTTTGGCAGGCTTGGGTGTGCATGTATCATCTTTAAGTGCCTCAATGAATGCTATCATTTTGGCTCAAGTAAACTTGAACCAAAATAGCATTCATTGCTGTTTCTTTCCCCACCCTCCCAACCCTAAGAGCCGACCTCCCGTGGAGATGTCCGCCTAGGTTAGGGGAGCCTGCAAGGCAGGCGAGTCCATAGCCTCTATCGGGGATCCTCTCTTGGGGCGACCAAGAGAGGTTTACCCTCCCTTAGGTTTAAGGGATGGGTGATTCCTGCAGAGCAGGTTCCAGCCTGGGTTGCCAGGCAGCTGACCAGTGGCGAAACTGGTCTGGGGCTATGTACGTGTCACACAGTGACGACCCAAAGCAAACCTGAGGATTGCAGGTGAAATTGACTGAGCATAGGTATAGCTGTGGAAAAAGAAAGCTGCGGGAGCGCGAGACAGTATCTGTTTCATATGACACTTTGAGATGTATATATATATATTATATTACATATATATGTATGTTTCCGTGCTAGCGTTTGTGTTGCTGCTGACTTCACATCACATGAGTCCTGAGAATTCAATGATTTCTGGTTAGAAAACAACTCCAAACTAGAGGCACCCTGCAGGTGACTGATTGAAACTAATACAGAAAGATAACAACCATTTTCTCCTGCTCCACTCACATGACTTTCATTGAAACTTTGAACAGCAGACAATTGGAATTGTATTGAAGTCAAATGAAACCAGATGACACTAATGCACAAATTAATTTTATTCAATGCAACCACATGAATTTGCCCAATAAAAGATACTGGGGTCACATAATCAGGATTGAGGCATGCTGAATTTGGTCCAAACTTTGTTGTAGATGAAATATGTGCAGAAGCAAGAACAATACAATATGATAAAACATGAACAGGGATGTAGACATGATAGATAATTATACGAGACAATCATTAATGTCCAAAAATTATGTAGAAGCAATCACCAGGTAGCAAGCAATCACCAGGTAGGCCGTTGTTTGGGTTCAAACCCACAAGTCTTATCGCGCATTATGTTGGCAAACATTGAGGGAAACTGTGTCATGAACGAACTGTACTTTGAATGTGCTGCATGCATGTCCATAGCCTTGTCATTTCAAACATTTTTTCTGAAACCCTCTATTCCGAAATTTGCTGCATAAAAAACATGTTTGCCAAACATGCAACGTTTTCCACACTTATTTAGTTTGTTTAATATGTTTGAACTTAAATGATGGGAACAGGTTTTCATTTTGTTTTGCTTCAGGGACATTCTAACCACGTTTCTTTCATTGCTGGTTTTGCCTAAAAGTGTCGACTCAGTTGCTTGTGAGTTTTTTTGTCCAATAATTTGTTTGTGAATGTTTGTAAACAAACTACGGGGAGGTTGGTTTTCAAGGCGCTTTATTCGCCAATTTTGGGTCTTGTTTGCACCATGTTTGGGAAAGTAGATGATTCATGCTGGCAATGTGCATGTCCAATTTCCTGCAGGTATTTTCCCACAAGCATGTCTGCAGCAAATGTGCCGGTCAAAATCTTGAACGCACATAGTTCCCATGCAATTTTGGATGTTCAAAGTATTTTTTCCTGAAAGTATTGCTGGCCAAGAAATGCTGCCACACGACATTGAAACAACAGGTTCCGTATATATGGGATCCAGATACCTTCTCACAGAGTGATCGGCCTAGTGAGAATGTGATCGAGATTGAAATTGCCCCAGAAGTGTCGCAGCTCGAAGACCATTCTGGGCACAAAAATCTGAAATGCTACCAAAAAGTCTCATAATGTTCTTGCATCCCAGTCATTTTCTCAACTGTACTTTGGATCCTTTGGGGTTTATTTAATTGGAACGCACGGCAACCAACTTTCTGTCGCGGCCAGGCCAAGTCTTTGACAACAGGTGATTTCATGTTTTCATTTACAAAGCACACCTTTCTATACATTTCAGATTCGGCAATGGTGCATCAAAAGCTTGCATGTTTGATACTTGGTCTTTCTGCGGCAAAGTTCCCTATGAATGGTCTCAGGTGTCAATCAGAATATGTTGAGTCAGAGGATCAAAATCACAAGCTCATAGACATGCAGCACCAGTCCCTCGTGACAAATGTGTAATTACTCAATTTGTCAATGCACTATGACTTGCAGGGTTGGACCAAGATCAACGTCATACTTGACATTTTTTTTTCAGTTTTGGATAATATATCGTGTTTGACGATTTTTGAAAAGCATCAATACTTTCAGACTACTGTAATTCCCGCTTTACAATTGGACCGGCTACGCTGGTGTTTGTCCATCAGCATGAAAACTAAAACGCTAAGTTTCTATGCACATAACACAGCACTTCTGGTGTTGAATATACAAACAAGTTGGATCGATTTTTTTCGTTTTCTGCTTTCTTGTGGGGCATTGGTTTTGCTTGTATGTTGGGGTGGGTCAATGTTGTCTCTACCCTGAGATGATTGCGTGATTTCAGAGCTTACTCGAGGCAAAACTGGTCACTATTTTTTTGACACGGGTTTGAAATCATACGTTCTTACCAAATTGTTCTGTGTGACAAAGTGATAGTGTGTGTTTTTGGTTCGTCTGACATGTTTGAATGTGTTTATGTGTCCTAGTCATTTTTCTAATCTGGATTTTGGATGATTTTGGCACCACATCCACACTAGTGACTATAACCCAACTGGAGTTTGCTGAAGGTTGATGCCTGGGCCATGTCAGGAAAGACATCTTTCAGTACATCATCTCGGAGTTGGGAAGCCTTGAGCGAATGGACGAGCAAATCCGAGCACTCATGGCTGAAATGCTGATGCGAAATTTGGCCAACGTGGAAAAGGCAACTGGAAGTCTTGTGGACCGTCTCGGCCAGGGCAGCGCAACAGTCGCAACAGTGTATGAAGAGCGGTTTTAATCATGTGTTGCTTCCGGAATTCGTCAGATATTTTCCATTTAGACAGTCTTGTACATGTTGTGACTTCTTGAGCACGCACAAGGCCGTGACTCGTCAGAGCTGACCCACAGCTGGCAGCGAATGAGTTTTGGCATCTCACAGCATGTCGAAAAATCGCCCAGAGGTTGGGAGCTGCCGATTGCTCAACGGGTTGCTGCAACACTTTGACGCAACTTGGAGTCGAGGAATGCTTCAGCCATCCATTTGGGATTCGGCCCCCAACCTCCATTGGCAGGTCAGGAACCCTTGCCTGGATCATGCAGATTTTTATGTAATTGACTCTCCGCATTGCCCTTTACAATCCTTTACATGTTGTCCAAATCCAAGGAACTCTGTGGGCGAGCAGCTAATAATAGATAGGTATGTCCGGTAATTGTGTCCCAGGGTTTCTTTTCTGCGCCTGAATGGTTTAGTCCAACATCCCTGGCTGTTGGTGGCTGCTCGGTGCTGACCATGCAATGATTGGCGATGTGAAATCACACAAATCATTCGAGTGAACCTGGGAACACCGCCAGTCAACAAGTCATTCTCTATGCTTGACTGGACTCAAGCTTGGAAAGGGGCATTAACCCCTAACAGATGGATTTTTTTTGCTGCTCTAAGATGCTCGAATATGCTCAATTGGGATTTCTTCCTTTGTGTCCATGTTAGAGAGTCATAATTGCAAAGACAGGACTCATCACATTTAGTAGGTTCATGATTTTCATGTACTTTCATGTTCTCAGGGATAAACCATGTTAAAATGTGCAATGACTTTGGCAGCCATTCTTCCTTGGCATTAGATCGGTGTTTTTTCTTGCGCAGCATGGTCTCGTTTTTTCTTCATGTCTGACATTGGTGTGGTGTTACTCCTGAGGATGATTCTCCTGGATTGTGCGCATTGCCTCGCCATCAGGCTGGCGGATGGGAAGTGTGGTTCCAAAGACCAAACTCCAAAACCTGTAGGCAGTGGGATAGGTTGGATATAGGGTACGCTAGGGTTGAGGTCAAGGCAATTGGATACTTCTTGGATCGGTAGATTGAGAGTATCATGGACAGAAGCGTCGGGAACAGGTAGAGATACAGCCAGACATGTTGTGACGTGTTTGTTTGCCCCTCCTTTGTTGGGAGGACCTTCACATTGATACCGGGTTTATGAATTATTGAAAATCCACAGCACAGAGAGAAATTCAGCTGTCTCAAAGCCAACGTGAGGCGCCATGCGCCCAAGCTGCGGCCGCTGCGTTGGACCAAAGAGTGGCCAAAGACGCCACCCCCACAGGATCGGCGATGTGGGATCTCCTCTGTAACGACGACTTGCGGGTTAGAACCGACAGATGTGAACCCCTTGAATTGTTTGTCAGCAGGCTGGAGTTTATTTAGGGCACACAGAGCGACAATATACTGTATGTCATTTGAGTCATTTGGTATGATCAACAGCGAACAAGGAAGGAATTTTGATTGAGACACATGCATCTACAATATAAACAGGGATGAGCACCATTGCATGAAGCTCTAACCCGCTATTAAAATGAATGGTGCGTGTTCCGAAATTTGCGTAGAAATGGGATATGCCCGACATGCCCAATTTAACAGTGGATGTGCCCCATGCTCATGTCTCGCACACGTGGGAAACCACAAGATGTCCACTGATCACCCTCTGAAACGCAACCTGGCGCCGTGCAAACACGGAGCCAAAGGATGACCTACTGATTGAACATGGTCATCTCCGTGTCCCACAACAAATCCAGGAGCGGATATATATGACAGATACATCGGGTTCCGAAATAGAATTGGGTTCAGCAAAAACATCCAGGTCAGGTAAGTTAATTATTTTATTATCCACTGGCGCGACAGGAGCCGCTTACAACAGCGACTGCCACGTTGGCTAGAAACTTTCGCTACCAGCAACAGAAAAGATGCAGCACCCTGCAGGTTGTTACGTCGTGCTTGCAAAAGTGACTTTGCATGACTTTGCATTGTAAGTGGAAGTGAAAGCGGGATTTCAAGACACATGTTCTTAGAGACGTTGAGGCGCAAGGGGGCTGTGTACGTCAGGTATCTTGATTCTCATCCAAACCATCGTGCTATTTGGTTCATGTTTCCGACTCTGTGGCCACAAGCCGAGTATCATGTGCTGCTGTGGTTTGAAGATTTCTTTGGATTTTATGAACCACGGTGAGATTGTTGAATGGGCCGCCTATCTTTGTGGGATCAAGACTGCAGGCAAGAAGGACAGAACTCGCTCAGAAATGTTTTTCTGTGGATCAAATTCAAATGCGCTGTGGTAAATTGCTGGACAAGTCGCCAAAATATCCAAAATGATGGGTGGCAAAGCAAATGCCTTCAAGATCCTTGAACTATCACCGTTTCTCCCAAACGCAAGACTAGCAATTTGCAGAAAAGAACGCAATATGGACAGAAACCTGCGGACAGCGATGCAGAAGCGGTGGTGCAGTATTTGAGCAAGTGACTTGTCAAAAGAAAAACGTGTGCTGAAAACTGATGGCAAAGATCTCTTTAGGCCCTTGCTCACCATCAAGAAAAAAACCATTCATCGGTACATCGTCCGAATCTCATCCTCATTTTTCTTGTGTTTTACCATGTTTTAGCAATGGCTGTGAGGGTGGTCCTGGGCAGAATGCCTCAAGTGTCATTTTTTAATGGTAACCCTTCCCTCCCCCCATCCTCCAGGGGCTGTTGTGGTTGACATGTGCATGCGGCTCGCGGCGCAGTATTTTGAAACTTCAGTTTAGTAGGTCTGCTCTTTGCTCATGAATTTCTGGACAACTGTATGATACCCATGGCTTGTAACTTGCAACTGCCTGGTTTTACCACCTGGCCTCAATGTTTCCTTGTACACATTAGCTGAACCAGACCCATGGGCACATGGACATGGTCTATGACAGAGTCCTCAACAGGATGCAGCATTTATCAGCATTATGGTGAGCGCAACGCCTGATGCCTGATACACCATGACTTGGCGCATGATGCAGTGGCTCCTCGCAACGCTTTTCGTCATTCTTTCTCCTGCTGAGCTGCGTGTCTCGAAGCAGAGCATGACTGGACAGCAGAGCACCTCGGCTGCGGTTTCGGGGCTTGCTGGGGGTGCATTGGTCAGGCAGTTTCAACAACTCGTAACACAGGTAGCTACAACAGGCATCTAGTAGATGTGTTGCAGTGCAACAGTGTTTACTTTGGGGTCTTTGCCAGCCTTTGCCGTAAGTTGGCATAGTTGGCCAGATGGCCATCAGCTGAAGTGGGAACTTGCGACTCCAACTCCCAGAATTGGTAGATGTGTTCAAGTTAAACAGATTTGGTGCCGGGTGAGGCCCAAGAATCTTTTCAGCTTTGCCACACTGCAAGGTAACCACCCAGTGCCCCAACCAGCAGCTGAAACGGGTGGCAGACATCTGCAGGTGGGCCTTGAGGGTTCACAGAAAGTCGATGTTCTGTTGCTGTATTGTTGGTTTTTTCCGGTTACCTTCTTGGAACTTCCAAGACCCAAATATCACCGAGAGTTGCGCAGTTCCTGCTCACAGGACTGTGAGGTGATTGGCTGGGCCGAACTTTGTGAACGAAAGAAGTTGACGGCCGGGTCGTGCTTTCAACTTCAGTGGCTTGGTCACAGGGGATCTGAAGAATGCTATTTATAGGTAGTGCTAGTATATGTACATAGTTATAATCCTCTTTATACGCTGTTGCATGGCTCAAGAAAAAGCTGAGTGTTACTGGCTGTTTAACCCTGAAATACAGGTTATCAGCCGTATAGCCTAGTTTTCCCCTTAGGTAGTTTTTCTGCTCTTGGTATTGCTTCCACCTTGAGCTTGTAGGGATTCCCTTGCCGCCTTGTTAGTGCCATGGCTAACCCTATGCTACCTATTGCCGACTCCCCGGAGACGATCGACATAAGCACTCCTCCGAGCTCCGAAAGATCAAGGAGCCAGCGTGCTGGTGGAGCCCCTCTCACTGAGGCTGTCGCAATGATGCCACAGAACTCAGGTTTTTCACATCGAGGAGTTTTGCCAGCCGCTACCCGGGAGGGTGGGCCGAACGTTCATAGTACTGGAGGTTCTGGAAATCGGGTGTTCAATCAAATGAATGTAAACCACGAACAACGTGTGATTATTGATCAGCAGCACTATGTCCAGAACAACAAGGTACTCATTCAGACTCATGACCCAGCATATACGGAGATGCTTGAGCAGACAGCCGAAGCGCGTCATCGCATGGCAATAGCCGAAGCGGAAGCTCAGGCCAATCACCGTCATGAAGTTTTGACTGGAAGTCTGAAGGAAGCACTGCAAATGCGTGAAGCCCAAGAGATCAATCAGGCAAGGATGTTTCTGCGGGAGAATGAGGAGAACATCAAAAGTGAGGCCGTTCAGCATGTCCGTGCCCATGAGGCTCAGTGTACAGAAAAGGTTCAGGCGTACCAGAGAATCTTGGACGCTAACCTCCGTCAGTCAATGGCCACTAAGGAGTGCGAGATTGAACGCCTCCGAAGTCAGGCCGCCGAAAAGGAGCGAGCTCAGGAAGAACGCATCAAAAGGCTCGAAGAGCTTGTGATGCAACAGAGTCTTCACAACCAAAAGCTCCAGAGTATGTTGGACTCTCAGCTGTCGCAACCACCTCCTGTCCAAGTTGTGGAAACCGCGACTTTGACTGTCATTTCAGCCCCGATCCCGGCGTGTACAGTTGGCTCTCCGGCCACTTCCGTGCATCCGTCCCTTGACCCTTTCAATGCCGAGACAGTGAACCCACCATATACTGCTCCTCCGATGTTGGCTGGTCCGTATGCTGGCAATACCGACGGAGAAGTTGAGGAGATGGTCATAGGCCGAATCCCAGTAGGTGGTATCAACATCACATACTGTAAGAAAGCAGAGAAAGGTTCTACCCCAGGTCCATCAAACCAAGGTCCCATGAACAGTGCCTCGGGAGATCATACCCCAATGTCTGGTCGTACTGTGCAGTATGGGGTTTCTGGTCATAAACCTAATAAAGGTCCCAATGATGGCAATAATGCAGGGGGAAATGGAAATGGAGGACCTGGTGGGGGGGATGATGGGGATGATGGGGACGATCATGATGGCTTGCCTGTCCCATCTCCATCGCCAATGCCCGAAGCCCATAAGAAGAAAGAGAAGAAGAAGGCGTCAGGCGGTGATGGAGGAGGGGGAGGTGATGACCCTGACAAAGATTCCGATGACAGTGATGAAAAGTTTGTTCGGCGTATGAAGAAGTTTTTGGGGGGTGGTTTCAACCATGGCGGGCAGGATGAGAAGCCCAAGGTCAAGGAAGCCGACACCATAAAGCTTCCAGCCATCCCAGGTCCGGAGACTTACAGAAACTGGCGCATCAAAACCCGAGAGGCAATAGTCGCAGCTTCTACCAACCCAGATTCAGCATTTGTCTGGATTGGAGAGGTTTGGAAAGAAGGTCAGACAATTGAAGCCCTCCGGAAGGTGGCGCCGTTTGCAACACTAGATGCGAAGCTCCTGTCAGCTCTAACCAACATTATCACGGGGGATTTCGCCCGAAAGGTCGGCACTTTCAAAGAGACCGAAGCCAATGAGGGGAGAATCGTGAGGGGTCGCCAAGTTCTTTTCATGTTACATGACCATTTCAGTACAAACATGAAACATGGCTCAACCTACGCCCTTCAGGATCTATTTAGTGTCCACCTCAAGGGAGAGAACCTGAAAACGTTCATTTCAAACTGGGACCAAGTTCTTGCAGGTATTGTCAAAGTTCCTGAGGAATCAGTATTGGAAACACTATTCTATAATCAGGTCAAGAACTGTAAGGCTATATCCCATGATTTGAACGAATACCATCGAGCAGATGAAGGCACAGAGAAAAGAAAATATGACTTTCTTGTTTCCGCCGTGCGCAGGCACCTGGATCGTGAACGCCTGGAGACCAACCGAGAGAGGGTTGCTCGGAATCTCTCAGGTACTGCCAAACCTTCCGCACCCGCTGTCGAAGGAAAGGTAGGTTTCATTCCACGGGGTTACTGTGTTAAGTGGAACAAGGGAGGATGCACCAATGAAAATTGCACGTTCAAGCATGAGGTTCCATCCAAAAGAACTCCTTCCACCAAACCCAAAAGGGATTCAAGTCGTGGACGATCACCGTCAAGAACCCAATCACCCAAAGGTAAGGGGAAAAAGAAAGAATGCATTTTCTGGAAAAGGGGACGTTGTGAGCGGGGTGACAAGTGTAACTTTTCGCACAATGGCCCTGCCGGGAAACCTAGACAGGCTACTCCCGCAAGATCCAATTCGAGTGGGAAGAAAGGGGGTAAGAAAACGTCTAGGAGTCCAGGCAGGAAGTCATCAAGAAGCCCTGGCAGACAGAAGAGCCCACGAAATTCCAGATCGCCTAAGGGAAATAAGAACAGCTCTAGCAGTGGCAAGGCCACTCCAGCAGCGGTTTGTTTGGTTGCATCGATGCTCGCATCCGTGGCCAGTGGTTTTGCAGTCGATCCCATGAAGGTATGCTGTCCCAGCATTGGCATCCGCTTCTCCGATGAGGTTGATGTGCATAGGATTGCAGCCCGTGGAAACATGTGGCCTATTGTAAATGGCGAACCAAAGAACAGAACCACTTCTCCATGGGGTCATAAGTTTGATGTTGACCAACAGATTGTTGATGATAGTGTGTTGTCTGCCACCATGCTTTCAGGTGCTGTTGAAAATTCTCTGAAGGGAATCACAGCCAAATGCAACTATGAATGTGACACCGAATTTGGTTGTGATTACTGCATTCCGAGAGGCATTGTGGCCGCCCCTGCCGAATCACGGGAAATGATTGAAGGTTCGATCGACTTGCAGCTCGATTGGATTGCCGACACAGGCAGTGCCCAAGATCTTGTTTCACAAGGCGAATTGCCTGATGATTATGGATACTACTCATCTAATCCCATACGAATGATGACTGCTAATGGTGAAAGTTCATCCATGAAACAGGGAAAAGTTTTCGTCCCTAGATTGGGCAAGACGGTGGATCCATACCTAGTCAAGAGTACTCCTGCCGTGCTTTCGGTTGGCATGAGATGTATTGACGATGGTTATGATTTCATTTGGAAGGGTTCAAAGGGTGAGGACCCCTATTTCATCAAACCTGATGGTAAATTGGTCCCATTGACCGTGAACGACTACGTACCCTACCTTGCTGCCAAGCCAGGACATCTCACCGCTGCACCCGCCAAGAAGGTCGCACGCCGGGAGGCCGTGCCGGTCGCCGACGTGGAACCAGAAAGGGATCCCGGGGAGTTCATCATCCACGTTGAAAGAGACGATTCTCCTCTTGATCTAGATAAGTTTGCAGCTGAGATGGAAGAGTTAGCTTCATCCGATCCCCCAAAGGGAACGCCCAGACCAGACAGTTCGAGACCTGACATTGTGTATGTGGATATTTCGGGCAAGAAGAAAGAAGAAGACAAAGATTCATCTAGTCCTCCGGAAGGAGAGGCCTTTGTTGTGGACTTTTCATCAAAACGGAGTCAAGGTGAACAGGCACTTAGAGAGGAAGCAAAATCTAAGAACCATTTGCTTTGTCATTTGCCCAAGAATCCATATTGTAAGACCTGCCAACAAGCCAAAATGCTGAAGCCCCCATCCAGAGTGTCCGGGGGGTCCAAGCACATCGACGCCGAAAGATTTGCAGAGCACATTACTGCCGACTTTCTGATCGCCGCTACCGATGAGGAAGCGGGGCTTGATGGAGAACAGGTTGCAATGGTTGTGAAGGATGTGGCTACTGATTTCATGTACATCTATCCCAGTGGTAGAAGAACGGCAAGAGATGCAGTTTTGGCCTTAAAGCACTTCATTGGACATAATGATGAAGTTGGCATTATGTATAGTGACAACGCTCCTGAACTTTTGAGTGCATTGAAGGATCTCAAATGGAGACATGTGCTAAGTAAGGAGTACATATCAAAGTCCAATGCAATTGCCGAACGATCCATCAGATCGGTCCTTGAGGGTGCCAGGGTCAATCTCCACCAAGCGGGGTTGCATCACATGTACTGGCCACATGCTGCACGCCATTGGTGCATGATGCAGAATGTCATGTCTAGAACCGGGTCTGATACTCCCTGGAAGATTCGTTTTGGGGAAAACTTTAAAGGTCCACTGATCCCGTTTGTGTGTCGTATCGACTACTGGAATGGTCCCAGAAAGAGACGGGTGAAGGACGGACTTAAGTTTGAAGCTACATCAAGTGAAGGAATCTTCATGGGGTACGCAATTCATCCTGAATTCATGTGGAAAGAGGAATTCTTTGTTGCATCATTGAAACAACTAATTGACAATGCATTCGATGAACCCGCACAAATCATGAGAGTGATTAAGATCAATCGAGTAGATGACATCGTTTTCCCTCTGTCCAACCGGCCAGCTCAATTCAAGGGCATTGCATCCGATGATCAAGATGATGACGACGGGGTCGATCGTGACCTCTCAGATCAAGATGCAAAGCCTGCGCGGGAGCCAGAGCCGACAGTGAAACAAATCGAAGACGGGGAAATGCCTCAATCGTCAAGTGCAAGTGCCGTTTATAATCCAACATGGTTAGGATTTCTCAGACATGTTGACCACAGAGAAG